ATAATTGTTTTTACATAGCGTATTTCCAAAAATTCTACAGCATTTTTTAAGCTACACAATGCAATTTTTATTACCCCAGCACACCTTAGAACTTTCAGAAACATTCTCAGTTGCACGTGAAGCATACAGTGCAAACATCCGATTGAGCGTTCTTAATTTAATAGCAATGACATCGAACGCCCAACGAATATCTCTCCAACCCAGAAAACGCCTCCTTTCACAGTTATGGTCGTGACGTCAAATTTCAATAAAGGCAGCGCAGGCCTACGAACAAGAAAGTTTTCATCTCGCCACTCGGCCGGACATGAATCACGCTTGTACTCCCAGAGCGCGCACTCTTATGGTCACCGCTCTTTGCTCTCAAACAAAGACTTAGTTGCGGAGCATGCACCCTATGGGTCGTGTCGATTCAATAAAATGAAGGCCAAAATACGAGTCTCTACGTAGTCGAGTGAGGACGGCACCCTCCCCACCCCCTTTTTTCAGCCTTTCATTAGCTCCAATTTGAGTCAAATTGGTGCGTTCTTTAGTGAATAGGAAATGTGCCTAAGTCAAAGTGCACAATCTAGGTTATTTTGTACAAGTCTGTGGTTTCATGCGATCTGAACTGGCTCTAGTTCTTCCCTAAACAATGTCTTTATAATGCACAGGTGCACGATCTAGGATATTGTAATAAAAGTCAATGGTATCACGTGACCTGTATTGCATGTAGTTCTTTCTCAGACCACGTCTCTATAATGAACAGGAAATACATTACAGTGCACGATCTAGAATCTAGAGTATTGTGATACACGTCTATGGTATTATGTAATCCGTACTGGCCCTAGTTCTTCTCCAAAGCATGCCTCAATAAGGCATAGACGATAAATTATATTACAGTGCGCAATCTAGGATATTGTGATACACATTTTGATATACATATACGTACGTGATCTATATTGGCCCTAGTTCGTCTATAAACCTTGTCTGCATAATGCACAAGTGCGTAATCTAGGTTATAAAACAAGCCTATGGTATCACGTGGTCTGTTTTCACCCTTCTTTTCCCCAGACCATATCTCTAAAATGAACAGGAAATGCACCAGAGTGCATGATATAGGATATTGTGATACAAGTGTATGTATGGTATTGAGTCATCTGTACTTACCCTTGCTCTTCCTCAGACTATGTCGACTGCCGGCAAGAAGGCCAAGTGTGAACTCCCTCCGTGCCGGGTGTGTAAAGACACGGCAGCCGGCTTTCACTACGGCGCCAATACTTGTGAGGCCTGCAAGGTGAAGACCTGTTTCCGGTTGTCATTGTTGTTGTTGTTGTTGTTGTTGTTGTTGTTGTTGTTGTTGTAGTTGTTGTTGTTGTTTTTGTTGTTGTTGCTGGTTGTGGTGGTGCAGTTATTGCTGTTGTTGTTTGTTATTGCGGATGTTATTTTCATGCAAAGAATTTTCCTTTCCTTTCTGTTTCTGCGAGTATGTTTTTTCGGTTTCCCCTTTGTTTGTTATTAATAGTTGTAAACCGCATTGAGCATGGATATGCGTTGTAAATATTTATCAACATTATGAAAATCATTCTTTTAGTGTCAAGTTTCGTATTCGACCAACATTATTTTAGACAACGTGTGTAAATAAATACCATTATGTTATTGTGTCCCCTGGAAGAGGAGAGGAATACCTTTATTTGAAAGTTACTTGTTTGTATTAAATTGCTGTATTCATAAACCATAATATCGCTGTTCACATTTCGCTGACTCAGTACATCGCAGTTTTTGCTTCTTTCTGACATTTGTAAAACCAGGTAACTCCTATGAACACCATGTTGGTTGAGGTTTTTATTATAGTCACTGGTGAGAACCTATCCGAAATATTACTTTGGTAAAATTATTAACAGTCACAATTTAAAAAAAAACCCTTCTATATACCGTTTATCTCTTATACTCCACGTTAGGAAAATGTTCATGCGAGAGCAAGGTGCAAGGAGAGTTTGTAAACATATAAAGTATGTTAATACTTCCATTTACCTAGATAATTTCCATGCTGTACCGCTATCACTATGTACTATTATAGAACTACAGCTGTATTATAAATATGTCGTGTCTACTTTGCAGGGTTTTTTTTCTTATTGTCAGAGGCTCCTGCCTACCCCTCCCCCCCTGCCCCCTCCCTCTGACCCGCCCCCACTCTTGTTATTCGCAGAGGAATCCTGTTTTCTTCTTTTAACTTATCCTGCCTCTTCTCTCCCATTGCCTGTCGAACAGCATTGTTCACTTGAAGTAGGGCATTTAACCCAAACAGAGATCTATATTTAAAACGTTTCTACTTTTACCCGGAGCTATTGGTATAACACTAATTGGTGTTATCAAGTAAAATGTAGGCTGTGGATTATAACAACAAAAGAGTCCTCCGAGTGAGAGCAGAGGAGGCTCGAGGGGAAAAGCTAAGACAGACAGAAGCAGACAACAAACTCTGTTTCGAATAAATTATCGGACACCATTTTCTCGTAGTTGAATAAATAAAAGGGATGAAACATAAGGTAACCGCTAAATATAATCTTTTGTCGGTGTTTTCTTACACCCCCATCGACACAGTTAAGTCGAAACACTCACGAATATACAAACACACAAATATACAAGCACACATAAATACACGCGTATGACAATATCACGTCTGTTTTATGACCCTTTACCTCAACAGGGCTTCTTCCACCGTAGTCTCAGACGAAAAGGTGAATACAAATGTATCGGTACCGGCAGCGGTTGTATCGTGGGGCCAGGCAAGCTCAGGTCCTGTCCCAAGTGTCGATACAAACGATGTATCGATGCTGGAATGTCAAAGGCTGGTAAGTACATCCTAGCAGTTGATATTTGGTTTGATATAATTTGAAATATATTGACATAATAACAGCCATGTAGAGCCTGGAAAAAAAGAAAGACAAAAGCAAAATGACCAAAAGTAGCAAAGAAGGACACACAACTGACTTTTCAACCAATTGTTAGCTGCAGAGACTATCCTCGGATCAGCCCTTCTTTGAAAGCTTTCGTTACTCCCTCGTTTTGCCTTGATTTTCTTTTCTTTTTATATGTACTTACCCAACATTAACAAAGCACGAGCTACCCTTCTCCACATATTGTTGAGACTTTGAACAAGATTTGAAAAGAAAACTATGGTTGTTTCCATTATGACACACAATTTAAGGAAGTGAAGAAACCCCCCAAACAAACAGCCCCCCCCCCAAACCTGACCACAACAAACGAAAACAAAACAGACACATACACACTCATACACAAACACAGACAAACACACTCACACACACACACACACACACACACACACACACACACACACACACACACACACACACACACACACACACACACGCTCACAAGGGCGAGTATTTGTGCACATTCAATTCTTCTTTTCCAAGAAAGCTTGCAGAGAGTAAATTTTATTTACAGTCTGTGTCACTCATGAGGACCTAACCGAAGTTTCATGTTCCAGTGGCAAAACAATGGCCAAATGTTTCAATATTAAGCTTTAGGCAGGTGTACATGTTGGACATTCACTTTGATGAATGGTCTTTTGTTTCTTGTTCTCGGTCGTAGATTACAACAACACAAAAAATGATGCACGACATAGAACCTAACAAATACTGTTTTTTTATTACCCCCCCCCCCTCCACCCTCTTCCACACTCACCCACCTCCCACTGCGCAGCAATTAAGACTGGTCGTTACACATACGCAAAGAGAAGTCGAGACACCCTGGAAATCCAACGCCTGCAGCAATTGGGACTGCTTCAAAGCCTCGAGGGATCCTCATCTAGCCTTTCCCAGCTGCCGTATGCCTCGCCATTCCCGGCGCACGCCTCTAGCGGTCATTCCTCTCCAAGCTCTTTGGCATCACCTTCGACCACAGTTGGCTCCTCCTTGTCTCCTGCAACAAGTCCTTTAGATATCACCACTTTTTCTGATCTGACATACCCCTTGAGTCCACAAAGCCACGCATCGCCCCTCCCATCCTCCTTCTTGACTCCACCCCATTTCTCACCTCCGTCCAATCAAGCTCCAACCCCTACGTGGTCGGATTCTAGACTCAATGATTTTAGCCCTGTTTCTCACGACAGTGAGCAGCCTGAATATGACGCCATCAGCGATTGCGAAGTACAGTACTTCAAGGATGTATTCAACACCAACCAATCAGAACCCCAATTTTTGTCCCCGCCTCCCAGCCACGCTAGAGATGATGCTGCTGCTGACCAATCAGAAGATAAGAGAGGACAAATACTAAATTTTGACAATCTACCCACCTTCTTAGACGCTGTCATTTCTACCTGTAAAAACGACAATGACATCACAAAGAACGATTGGTGTAAATTTTCAGAGTGCAACCCCACCACTTCTGCAGTGAATGGCCATATGGAAATTTCAACAACTACCCCACCAAGCTCAAAGTGCACCATCTCGCCCACTTCACCCGCCATCACCTCCACATTTGCCCACCTCCCATCTTGTGGCTACTCTAAACTCAGAAGCGCAACAGGCGATACGGCAGAGACTGAGGGGACAGATATTCTCGACCTTTCCGATAACGTGGTTACCTCCTCAAAAAATGATGGCCTCATAGGCAATGACCTTCTTTTTGATTGTTTGTATCGAGGCGTCTCCCCTTACTTCGACAGAGAGAAAAATGAATACAACTATAGCTGCAATTCGAGTTTAAAGCGAAAACAATCACAAGGTTTTCAAAACAGCAAGAAGAGAAAGGAAAATAATGTACCCGAAGCTTTGAAATCGGACGATTTCAACACATTGTCAAAAACGCTTCATGGATTCATTAACAGTAAACATGAATTTGCTGAATATCTATCGACACCATGCGACTTATTTAGCTCTGAAATCAAAAGAGAGTTTGCGGAAGCTGGAGGATACCCAGGGCAGCCGGATATTGAGAATGAGGTTCTCAAAACTAAAACTCAGTCAAACGATTTGCAAGATATTGAGAACAAAGTGTTGTTGTTTCAACATTCAGAATCTGTCCTTTTCAAAAACTCTGGCAATCAGCTCAGTTTGGTTCTCAATACCCCAAGGAAAGTACCAGATGATTTGAGTAGAAATGGGGAAAACTATCAGATGGACTGTGTCATCAAAAGAGAGGATTGTCCCCAAGACGAAAATAAATTTTGGAATGTCGGGGGACAATTTGGTGTCGCTGATTTAACTCCGTCTCTGAACAATACGGAAAACAGCCATTGTGCTACCTCTGCCAAAAACTCACATTTTCATCTGCAAAGGGGCCCAGTTAATTCAGATCCCCTGAACTTTCAGAATATACATTTCATCGGTCGGTCAGGCCAGGTCCCTTCCTCTAGTTACAATTATCCAGACCAGTCGAGACAGATTCCATTTTCAGAGGACAGTCGTTGTCTTTTCACAAAACCAAGGCCAACTCCTCACAGCCCCAAATCGTCACCTACCTCAGAGCCGAGCCCTTTGGCGTTTTCGTTAAACAACCCACAATTAACGTTTTCTGACATCTTTCCGCCTCATTTGACACCCAACCCAACTACCTGTGGCAGCACCCCTGCGTCTTCGGTGGCATGCATTGAAAAGACCTCGGCGTCACTTGGCGGAACAGCTGCTGTAACATCATTTTCTGAGATAACTCACGCGGCGTCATTGCCTCAAACGTCTCCAGTGACGTCGATGACAGTCATTTCTTCTGTCCCGTCGGTCGCTGAGATGTCCCCTGCGACGGCCTCAACCTTTGATCTTGACCTGCCATCTTGGACTGACCTAGAGCAGACGATAGATCAGCTGGTTAAATCTCACAACAAGCATGTCCGTGACTTGAACGAGGATGCCCTTCGTCCGTGCAAGTTGAATTACTCATTTCAGGTTGGTGTTCTCAACAATTTCACTTTAAAATATACATTTAAGTTGGGTTTATCTTCTTAGTTTGAAGGGAACGTGTAATAATGAAATATTTTGTAGTAAACATGATGAGATGTTAGATTTTGGTGTTGCATTTGCGAAGATTTTTAAAAGGGAGGTTTAGGGCAAGTATGCAAAACGACATATTGATGATATTTTAAAGTCACTGCACTGTTCAGTTTATATATTCAGCTCTCTTTTTTTATAAATCTGAGTGTCCTTTTAATTCTTGTATTTTCCCCTTTTCTCTAACTTCCCTAGCCTCTTGAACTGGCAATCTTGATGTAGTATTCATGGTTGTTTAAACTTTTTTTTCTTCACAATTTCAGCCAAGGCCTCAATCGCCAGATGAGGACAGAGACAGAGATTCTAAACACAACGCTTTGGGCTATTCAGGTGGGGCTGCTTTTGACAGGTTGTCAGTTTCTCAGCACTTTTACCTTTGTAAATGAAAGCAGAAAAAATGAAAACAATTGAAATTGAAAACGAAACAAACAAAAAACCCGAAACGTTATCACCCAAATGTTACTCTAATTCTCTATGTGTGTGTATGGGGGAAGAATGTTAGTTTTACATCATGCTCATTATATATACTCATTATTCTTCTATGTAACTTGTTACAATATGTCTATGTCAAAATCTTGGCCACCCTGACAAACCATAACAGAAATTAGAATGGGTTACTTGAAAATTGTCACGATGAAACATTGTTGTGTATGATAATTATTATGAATTCCTCAGAAACCAATTCTGAGTGAGATCTAACGTAGCTTTTCTTACTCAATGTGCCCTCAGAGTTAGAGATCCGCTTAGAGAAATCCGTCAGAAGACTCGTCAAATTCGCCAGATCGATACCAGGATTTTCTTCACTCCCGCTGAAAGATCGGATGTCCCTCATCAAATGTGAGTATAAGTTTTGTTATGGTGTAGTATTCGTTGGAGATAAAAAGCCTTACAAGATGCGGGTGACACCATTTCGAAAGAAAGGTACTGAGCCCCCATTAGGAGAAAACTTGAAAAGGTTATGGATCTAAACGGTTGTGGGCACAAAATACTAGTTAGATATCCGAAAACGTGGAAACATCAGTTGTTGTTTTTTGTAAGTGTCTTACGGTGCTCGCAGCTGTATAAGGCCATATGAGCCCGCGGGACACATTAACATTTTTCAGTTGGTAGGAAATTTTCAATGTTGCCCGGGTGGCGGCCGAAGCCTTCTCTTATCGATTTTAGACCACCAGGAGATCTTAAAGTGCGCAACTTGCACACGGACCCTCAGAGAGTTTTGGCCCGTGTCCGAGAAGGTTAGGTGTAGATCTTTCCTACCAGAAGATCAGGGCTGTGGCTGAAAGACAGCAGTAAGAAGAAGCTAAGGAGTAGCGGTAGAAAGGCTGCAAAAAGAATCAGGAGCCCAGAGGAGGGGGCAAAGGCGGAGAGGGGGTTGGGGCAGAAAGAGGAGACGAAAGCAGACGACAGAACATTGTTAGAGAGCAGGAAAGGAGGTGAAAGGAGACATATTTTGAAAAGAATTTTTTTTCGGTCTCTACCCGGATTCGAAAACGGGACCTTTGCATGAGAGGCCAACACCCTAACCTTTAAGCCGCGAGAGCCCCAGGAAACATCAGGGGGTATGGAGAAAATATTAATGGAATGTAAGGTATAGGATTGACGGCCATGTGTGCAGTGTCAGGTTGTTCACCAGGTGTCATTATCCTTTACAAAATTGTGAAATAAACGCGAAAAGAGTCATCCCACATGTAAGTATCTTTTCACTAAGGTACCGTAACTCGCCCGGGCAGAGTCAGTAAATTACCATTTAGCTTTCAGGATACGTTTCTCGAGTTGTTATGGAGG